TTTTTTTTTTTTTTTTTTGTTATTTGTCTCTTCTTCACATACATGATTTCACATACATGGTAAGATGCGCTTTTATTTTTTGGGGTTGCTCAATAGACCACTTACTATGAAATAAATTTTGTATGTACATTTTTTTATCAATTTTTTTTAATTCTTTAATTAGGCATGTGTATTTGAAGAAGAAGAAGAAGAAAAGGGAAGAAGAAAGAAAAAACATGAAAGAAGAAGAAAAGGGAAAAAGAAGAAGATCGTGAAGAAGATAGAAATGGTGTGGGGAAAAGAGATTGGAGAGAGAGAAGAGAAATAGAGAGAATGAAAAAAAAAAGAGACAGGAGAGAGAAAGAAAAAAGAAAGAGAGAAAAAAAAATAGATAGGGATGTTCATGAGAGAGAAATAAATGGATAAAGATGTTGAATAAGTAGTTTTTAAAAATAATATTGCGTCTTTATTTGATATTTATTTATTTATTTATTTGTGTCTGCCTATTTTTGTTTAATGTTTGGAGTAAATTGTGTATTGTATATGACTTTCAACTGTTTTGTAAAATCATTGTTAAAAAGGAGCAGTTATAAAAAATTTTCTAATATATGGCTTTTATAATTAATATATATAGTTTCGGTTTTTTTCGATTCGGTTCGGTTAACCGAACATTTATATCTAAACCGAATCGAAAACTAAAATTTTAAAAAAAGGCAAACCAAAAACCGAACCAAGAATTCGGTTTCGGATTCGGTTCAAACCGAAATTTCGATTTCGGTCGGTTAACCGAATTTTGTGCCCGTAATGTGAATGGTTGTTTTTTGTCTCTTAAATAGGGTAGGATGGTCTTTTTCACTTGTACGTGTCCCTGACAAAATGAATCTATTTCTCTGACATTGGACCTCCATCTGTTTTTTTTAAATTTAAATTTTAATCATGGGGTCTCCCCTCTCATTATTTTAAATATAGAAACACAAGCTCCATGGATAATTATAGTTCTTGAGTGGTCACCTTTTCTTTGTCCGCTGCAAGTCCACATCATAAACCTTCATTAAAAAA